AGACAGGCTTTTACATACAAATAGAGTAGAAGAAGAAGCAGACTGAAAATAGGTGAAACTGAGGATATAAAGGTGAGCTTCCCCAGCTAAGATTCTGGAATGAGCTTCTAGGGGCATCAGAGAATTTCCCTCTGACCACCATGCAAGCGAGGTAAGAAGCTGAAACATCAAACACCAGAGTGCCTGAATTATTTTACCTTTTACCTGGCTGACTAGAAATCTTAGCTGTTTCTTTTTAATTAAACATTGAATCAATAAAGTTAACTAGTGAAGAGATTAAAGTCAAAAGACTTCTTGGACTCTGCTTCATAGAGCACTCCCCAGATCACAGTCACCTGGGTTGGCTCTCGGCATCCCCATCATCTTGTAAAAAAGTTGATGAGTCAACTCACACCACACAGGCAATGATCTCCCCCCACCACCCACGGCAATCACTCTCCCCACCTCCCCAGCCACCTGCACAGTGTGTGCTCTGAAGAGCTGAGCCAGTCACCTGGCCCCCAGCCCCACCAAGCTCTGGCACCAGCGGGCTCTCACACTCTAAGAATGAAAGGCAGAGGGAATACACCATGTCTATTCTCACCTTAAAATGCACTGTTTCACACTTAGGGATTATATTTTGAAATCAGTATCATTTTCAAGTGAGAAATCTGAACCCAACAGTAAGCCTAACAAAACACGAATTTTAATGTTAAAATCTCAGAAAGTCTCCTCAGTTGCTGGTAGGAATGTATAGGCACTGTGGAAAACAGTTTGTCAGTTTCTTTTTTTTTTTTTTTTTAGTTTGTCAGTTTCTTGATAAAAAGTGAGCACACACTTATTATACAACCCAACAATCACACTCGGGCATTTTCCCCGAAGAGTGAAAAGAACACCCGCACTAAAGCCTGTACGTGAACGTTCATAGAGCTTTATGTAGAATAGCTGAAAACTGCACATGACTAAAATATGTCTCAATGAATCAATGGTTAAATAGACTATGGTACATCCATGCCATGGACTACTATGCAGCGATCAAAGGAAGGAACTATTGATGCATACACAACTGGGGTGGACCTTAAGGGCGTTATGCAATGTGGAGGAGGCCAATCTCAAAAGGCCACATACTCTATGACTCCATTTATTCATATAACTTTTTTAAAAAAAGATTTATTTATTTTAGAGAGAGAGAGCTCGTGAGCATGAGTGGGGGGAGGGATGGAGGGTGAGGGAGAGAATTTCCAGCAGACTCTGAATTGAGAATGGAGCCCAACATAGTGCTGGATCTCACTACCCTAAGATCATGACCCTGAGCCAAAATCAAGAGTTGGACACTTAACCAACTGAGCCACCTCAGCGCCCTTGTTTGTATAACTTTCTTGAAAAGTTAACAAAATATAAGTAACAAAATTATAGAGATGTAATTGGTGGGTTCCAGGGGTTCTAGAGGGGAAGAAGGAAGACCAGGTCGGGGTCGGGTGACTGTAAAAAGGAAGCAGGAGGAAGACATTTGCGGTGGCAGTTTTCTGACTGTGGGGGTGACATGAATCTACACGAGAAGATGACACAGAAGTATGGACATACTTTACCAATATCAGTTACTTGGTTTTGATGGGACTAGCAATACAAAAGATGCAACTACCTGGGGGAAGCTGGGGGAAGGCTGTGAGAGACCTCTCTGAACTATATTTGTAACTGCTTATGAATCCCTAATTACCGTAAAACAAATGTTTAAAATGTGCATTTTAATGTTAAAGAGTCTGAAATAAAGCAACTTAGGTAGAGCCTGTATGAGCAGGCTCCGGGGGCAGAGCTGGGGCGGGGGGCAAATATGCTGATCCTCTCGTCACCCTAGTTTGTCACTGTTGTTAGAGCAAAAGAGCCTAAGACTGCTTGCTGCTAGCAGCAGGGGTGGCAGGGGGGCCTCGGGGGAGCCAGAGTTAAGAGCTCAGGGCCTCATTGGAGTGCTGCTCTTCTTATAGTTTTGTCCCTCACTCCCATGGAAAGGCCCTTGGCACAGGCCCTGCTCTCCAGACCTCACAGTGGGTGCTTGGTAAATAGCGGCTGGAGGGAAGTATGCCTGCAGACACCACCCATGTCCACCCTGGGCCACCCCCGTCACCGACTGTATCTGAATCCAGGGATGGATTCCACTTGCTAACTGCCCCTTTCTGCAGCCCTGAGATCCTGGTTTCATCCAATCTCTGGACTCATGTCCTTAGACAAACATACAGATGTCTATGATGCCTCAGGTCCACAGACTGAGAGTCTGCTGGGCCCCCAAGGCCTGGTGCTCCGTGGTGCTCGGTGCCCAGGTGCAGCATGGTGCAGCATGCCCAGGTGGTCGGGGGCAGAGGGGTGTCTCTTGGGCTGATTCTCACCCTCTTCTCCAGCCCAGCATATCTTCTGCTCAATGGGATCAGAATCAACCAACCAACTTGATATTCTTTCTCCTCTCTGGTTCACCTCCCATCCCTGGTCCCTGGTCCTAGATATGAGGCAGGCACACTTGATTCTATAGTCTGTGCTAGTAACATGCTTTTAAGGAAAAGCCAGTACAAAATACATGTACAGAATAACCCCATTAGATACATACATATACATATACATAGATATATATGAATATATGCATATAAATGTGTTATATTTATTTCCGTATTTTCTAAGTATTCCACAATGAATAAGGATCACTTGTGAATTAAAACTAAACTTGTAGGGGCACCTGGGTGGTGCAGTTGGTTAAGTGCCCAACTCTTGATTTCAGCTCCTGTCTTGATCTTGGAGTCGTGAGGTCGAGCCCCATGTCAGGCTCCCTACTCAGCTTGGAGTCTGCTTGAGCTTCTCTCTCTCTTTCTCCTGCTGCCCCTCCCACTCATGTTCTCTCTCTCTCTAAACAAATATATACTATATGTTGGCAAATCGAACTTCAATAAAAACAAATGAAAGAAATTTCTTTTTTTAAAGAAACCTTTAAAAAAACTAAAGTTGTAAATAAGGAAACATCAGACAAGGCCAAATGAAAGGACATCTACAAAACCACATTTTCTTCAAAAATGTTAAGACACGGACTGAAGGAGACAAAGGAGATAAGACAACCAAAGGCAATGCAGAATCCTTGACTGGAACCTGGACCGGAAAAATGACATGAGTGGACACATCGGCACAATTTGAGTGAGGTTTATTAGAACCGTTGACCAATGAAAATATTGATGCTAATTTCCTGATTTTGATAGCTGTATGAGGTAAGCTGCAGACTTTAAAGGAAGCTGAGTAGAGTATACGGGAACTCTCTGTACTATTCACATGGCTTTGTTATAGATCTACAAGTACTTCAAAAGAAAAATAAGTGAATACAATCGAGCCAATGACATACCCTACCCCTTGAGGTACTTAATGCTCCAGAGACCAGCAGAAGCATACAGGAGCCCAGCCTCAGGCAGTGGGTGCATGAGGTGGCCCCTATCACGACGACATTCCTCCTGGGGGGTTTCCTAGTTCTTTAAGCCCCTTCCCTTCAGCCTGCTGCCTGCTGGGCTCTCCTGGATTCCAGCGCCTTTCCTTTCCAGGCTGGCACTGGCCGCCAGTCTGGAGAGCCACCCTATCCATTGAGGTCCAGCACCAAAACTGCTGCCTCAGTCGTAGGTCTGAATCCCTCCCTGACTTGACAAGGTCAGGTCTCTCCTTGCTGATGCCACAGGCCAGGGCAGTCACCACCTCAAGCAGAGTCTGACTGTGGAGAAGTCCTTGGGAGTCTCTCTCCAGTGGGCGGGGAACCTGGGAAGGCAGGGCCTGTAGCGGGGGCTTTGCACAATTGGCATAAAGCATGCACTCCGTACAAAGTAGTGGAGTGGACCACAATCCTGGCAGTTCATGTGGTTGTTCTGAGGGGAGGGACACACCCAGGGCCAGGCACAGAGCACTTGCAAGAGCACTAAGCTGTCATCCGCCTGGCTTATGCTCCCCCTGGGGTGGCGGGTCTGGCAGAAACCTGGCTCTTGGGTGGGGTTTCAGCTGGACCCCCCCGAATGTTTGGTCCACCCTGCCTGGCTTCCCTTTCTTGGTGCCATCAATGGGCACACTTTAACCACTTTGCCACAGGGTCGCTGGATCAGGCCCAGCCTTCCAGCAGATGATGAGAGAGGGCTAGTCAGGTCCACCTGAAAACTGGGGCCACTTTCCACCTTCCCCTCCCAGGCCCGGGGTCAGCACTGCCAAATTTAGGGCTGGTAAGAGTGTCACCCACAAGCTAGATACTTCAGGAGGTGTTCCAAAACAAAGCTAACTCCTTTGCCCTGAATTGCTCACCAGACTTCAGTGTCCCCCTGAGTAGAAAGGGGATAGTGACAGCTGGCTCAGAGGGACACTGTGTGCAGAGCTCTGCAGACTGCAACCTGTGCGAGCCACCCCCCCCCGGCCCCTGGCAGGGATTAGGGCCACAAATCAGCTGCAGGGCATCTCAGACTATGCGGTGACAGGTTCCAGTACACAACCAGGGCGGCTCACACAACTGTTTTATGGCAGATGTTGTCACAAGCTACCTCTTGCACAGAGTCTACAAGTCAAAGTTCAAAGTCAGCGAATGTGACAGACAGCTAAGAAAATCTTGGAAGACCTCCTCTCAGAAGGAAAGACAGAGCCGCCCCCCACCACTGTCCTGTTTTGAACTTGAGAAAAGCAGAAATAAGCAAGTGGTTGGAGAAAAGAAACCATATCAAAGTCGATTTCCAGCATCTTCCCCAGGACCTGGCATATTTTAGCAGCATCCCCCCATCCCTCACTGACCCTCCGATCACCAGGTGGCCTGGCTGTCACCCTGGGTTTGTTTGGGAAACCCACCATACTGCAGGAATTGGGAGGAGCACAGGGAGGGATTAGGGACCGTGGGGCTGAGTCTGAGCAGTGGGGGAGCCGGGCCCAGAGCAGCTCGGCTGTGCCCCTGTCCCCAGGGAGCCCTTGTCCCCAGGGAGTGCGCTTCTCCGGGGCCCTCCCCTTCTGCAGGCAGCCCACGCGGCAGCACTCACCAGCTCCGGCAAGAAGAAGGCGTAGGGGATGGTGAGGAACAGCATGACCCCCGGGGGCACTTCGGGCGGGGCATGGCTGGTGGGGGGCGGCAGGTCCGGGGAGGCCATCTCTCGCCCGCTGCCTGTTGCCCTTGGCTCCGCTGCAGCTCGACCGCGCTGGTTCCGTCAAATATCACCTCCTGCCCGACACACCCATCGGACGTCGCCTGGGAGGGAAAAAAAAAAAAAAAACGTTCCAGCCGAGCAGGTCCTTCCACTCCCTCGGGCCAAAAGACTCCTTGGTGAAATGCGAATGCGGATTCGGATTTGCATCAGATGGGCCTGGGCTCGCTGGGGGCACCGAGGCAAGGAGGGCAGGAGTCTCTTCCCAGACTTCTCCTCCTCAGGGATTTTGAATCCGGAGCATAGTACTCCAAGGGGTGCTCGCTACAGCCACCACCCCTCAACCTTGTGGCTGGAGTGTAAGCGGAGGCCACTTGCTATGACCAGCACTGTTTACTGAGGACCTACTATGAGCTAGGCAATCTGCAGGCAAGTCTGGGGCTCCCCACAGCCGTGCTCAGGGCTCTATCATCTCGTTCCCAAGCAGGGAGACTGAGGATCTGGTAGGTAAAGGCCACAGAGCTGGTCACTGACGATGCTGGGTCTTATGTCCGTCCGCCCCTGCTGCCTGGGTCCCCACTTCTCCACTCATGGGGGCCACCTTCCATCCCCAACTAGCTGTCCTCACTTCTGGCTCCTGTCCCCAGGAAACTGCCATTTCCTTCTCTCCCTGCATCCGCTTCACCACCCTCCTCTCTTCTCTGTTCACACAGCAGATGGAGGGGTTCTCCCTCTCTAGAAGTCCGCCCCGGCAGGCACCTGAGAAGGGTTCAGCTGGCTGGGTGCTGCCCCAAGTATGAGCCTTCCTCCTTCCTTGCCACGGCCCCCAGTGTGGCCAGGAGGCGGGCTTGGGGCCAGGCTGTTCCTTCCTGCCTCCCGCCCACTCGCCAGTGGATCAGGGGGGCTGTAACCCAGTGGGCAAGCAACTCCTCTCACTCTCAACCAGGTCCTGGAGACTTGAGTCTTTTTCTTCTCCGTCTTAGAGTTGACCATCTGCAGAAAGGCCTGGAACCTCAGGGTCTACTCGGGATGCTTGGCATCGGGGTCCTTTCTCTTTGCCCTCCGTGGCCTCAACCTCAGCCCCTGGCAGGCCAGTCAGGGAGCTGATCCCTGGTGAGGAGGGGATGTAGGAAGGTTAGATTTGTGTGCTGGGGTGATTAGCGTCCTCAACAAGAGTGTGTCTGTTTGCAGTGTCTGTTCATTAGCTAGGGTAGTGCATTCCAGGGCCTGCTCTCCTGGGCACAGCTCAGGGGAACAGCCAGCTGAGCCTTTGCCTGGTCTGCGGATAGCCAGTGGAGGGGGGTGATTGGGACAAATGAAGCCCAAAGCAAAGCATTGCAAGGAGATGCAAAGCATCCTGAGTAAACCTCAAGCCATCCTGATTACTCCCTTCTCCCAGGCCTGTGGAGACCAAGGGAGAAAGCAAGGCCCTAATTCTACCTGCCATCTGGCCCCACCTCGTTTGCAAGAGGAACTCAAGCTAAGCAGGCATTGCCTCAGGAATCTCACCTCTTGCACCTCTCCTGAAGGTTGTAAATGAGCCCTGTGACACTCTTATGGCCTGTAGGATACTTTGACTTGACCACTGACAACATGGCATCATGGGAGCAGCTTAGGGAAAGCAAGAAGGAAAACACGGTCCTTAGGCTCACTGCTCATCTACAGGTAATAATAGAACCTGGAACCCCTTAGAGGTTAACAGGGCCTGAGCCACTTCCACCTCCTGAGGTAATTAGTGTAATTAAGAAATGAAGATGGGGGCTCCTGGGTGGCTCAATCAGTTGAGTGATGGACTCTTAATTTAGGCTCAGGTCATGATCTCAGGGTCATGAGATGAAGCTTCGAATCACGCTCTGCGCTGAGAGTGGAGCCTGCTTGGGATTCTCTCTCTCCTAATCTCTGCTGCTTCTCCCCTCTCTTTAAAAAAGAAAACAAACAGGGACACCTGGGTGGCTCAGTGGTTGAGCATCTGCCTTCGGCTCAGGATGTGATCCCGGAGTTCCAGGATGGAGACCCACATCAGGCTCCCTGCAAGGAACTTGCTTCTCCCTCTGCCTATGTCTCTGCCTCTCTCTGTGTGTCTCTCATGAATAAAAAATAAAATCTTTCAAAAAAAAAAAAAAAGAAAGACAGAGAAAAGAAAACAAACAAGAAATGAAGATGTAACAAAACAAAAACAAAAACTTTGGCATATTTAAACATTTTACATTTAACCAAGTGATGTATTATATGTGACAAAGTATAGCACGCTCTATGTAGACATTAATAAGAAAGCTATAGGAGTCATAATGCACCACAGGTAGTGAAATCCCAGAAGGGACAGAAGTTTAGAACTATAAGAACAGCTTCAATGGAGAAGAAATAGAAAAAAAAAAAAACACATTCCTGAAATGATCTGAGTTTTGTATTGTATTCCTGGAGGAGGTGCCACAAAATACTCCACAGCAGTCCCGCTGAAATGTGTTTCAGAAGGATCCAGTATCCCTGATGCATCAGGTCTGGTTATACCTTAATCGAAGGCTTCAGATAATCAGATCACATTACCAGCTAGATGCTCCCACAGCATCTGTCTTGCCGTGGACGATGTGAGGAAGCTCTTGAAGATTACTCTTTGGCAGTGTCTTCTTCTCCCTGCCGTTTTTTTTTTCCTTCTTTCTTTTTGGATCGGTTTTCATTCTTTTACCTTATGTCCCAAGACACTTCTTACTAATACAACTGTTAAACATTCTATATAAAAAGTTTTATTAAAAAAAAGTTGTACTATCTGAGAATGTATTAGGAAATGTCTTTACTTTTCACAGAGAATCTCAAATAAAAATGAACCAAAGGGTGCCTTTGCCATGCTTTCTGTCCTATACAACAGATTTAAGTTTTGTGCAAGAAAATATTCTTTAAGTAAACAAAAAATTACAAAGTCCACTCAAGGCATTTCTGGGGCTTTGGATATAAATGCACTTGAAGAGGAGGTCAGAAGTCTGGTGTGAGGCCGTGGGGAATGCCAGGCCCAGAAGAGGGACCTTTCAGACTCTTCTGCAAAGGGCCTGCTGGTTTCCAACTCCTGGATGGAGAATTGGGAGTTATTCTTAAAAATCATGCAACAATACTCAATACTGCTGATTTCTATTATCATTGTGTTCATGCTCTCCTTTGTTTATGGTGGTGGGTTAAATGGGATAATGCATACAAAAGCATTTAGGAAAGTTCTGGCATATGGCAGATGCTTAATAAGTATTTGCTTATCTAATTCTTTTATTTTTTATTTTTTTATCTAATTCTAATCCTGAAATCACTTCTCTTCTGGACCTCTTTCCTTTCCATAACAACAGCACCTCCCCTGTTAATATTTCCATTCTGGTTTTTAAAAGTAGTTCCAAAATTGTTTTTATTGATGCATAATATACTTCCAGAAAAAGTGCACAAAACATACAGACCATGAAACTTCCACCCCGGTCATAGAATGTTGCCAGACTCCCAGGCATTTCTCCTGCTCTCCTCCCTAATATCTGCTCTCATGATGTCCTAACCCCTAGGCTGGTTTTGCCTGTTTTTGAATAGATTCCTTTGTGTCTGGTTTCTTTTACTCAACATGAGGTCTGTGAAACTCATCCATGACACTGTGTGTTGCTGTAGTTCACTCACTGCTGCATGGTGTTCCACTGTATGAATATGCTACACTTTATCAATCTATTGTTTCTGGACATTTGAATTCTTTCAATCTGGGTTATAATTAAGAACAATACTATAAACATTCTAGAACATATCTTTTTAAGCATCTATGAATCCAGCATCTACGGTCACTAGATAGCTATGTATACACCTTTAAAAAAAAGATTTTATTTATTTGCAAGAAGAGAGAGAGCATGAGTGGGAGGAACAGAAGGAGAAGCAAACCATGTAGTTCCCTTCACCGTATTGTTTTCCAATCATAGCTGTTGTGGGGATTGTATAAGCATAAACTCAAATCCCACCAGACAAGTGTTATGACCTTTGCTTTCAACTACCATACATATTTCAAAGAACTTAAGAGGAAAAAAATTGAGCCTATGCAATGTTTGCAGTGTGATTATTATATTCTTTATTCCCGAAACTTGAATTCAGTTCTTTTTGTATTGTCTATTTTTCTGATGAGACCATCTTTCTGTTCAAGATTTGCCTGTATTTCTTGGAGCATAATTGTCGTAGCTGCTTTAATGCCTTAATTTTAACTCTTGTGTCATCTCAGAGTTGTCTCTTGATTGTCCTTTTGTCTTTTTCCTTGAGAGATGTGGAGATTTTCCTGGGTCTTCAAATGTCATGTAATTTTGGATTATATCTGGACATTTTGCATATTGTCATGAGTTTCTGGGTCTTGTTTAAACCCTACAAAAATGTTGATTTTTTTTTTTTTTTGGCTTATCAGGCAAATGCCTGGTTAGGTTCCAGCTGCAAGTTGCTGCTATCTTTGGGCTGTAACCACTGACCAATGTCAGTTCAATTTTTAAGGTTTTGCAGGGCGACTCCAATCTGCTCCGTGTGTGTGCGCTTGTCAGGGACTTGGGACCGGTCTGGGGCCCTGGTGCAGTTCTAAACCCCTAGCGGTATGCTGTGTAGGGTGAGCTCAGGCATTCATACACTATAATGAATCACTTTCTCTAGCTCTCTCCTCTCCATGAATTCCCCAACACTTTCCAATTCCCGGGAGATCCTGCTCTCTCCCCCTCTCACTTTGGTCTTCTGGATGAAAAGCCAGGGTTTTAGTTTCCCTCCTCTGCTGTGCCAAAACACACACACACACACACACACACACACATACACACACACACCCTGAGAGACAGAGGGATAGAGACCCAGACACACAGACCAAGACGGGGGTTGGGGAAAGCATTAGAGATTCTCCTCAATGCTCTTAGGATCCCAGTTTCTGTGGTCAGAGAGAAAGGTTCCCCTCTCTCAGAGTTCTGTTACCTGTCCAGCTGCCACTGCCTTTCACCACTACCGCCAATAGATAGCTGGAGGCTGGGGCAGGAAAGACTGATGTAAACAGGGTTTTTCTACTCTCTCTGACCTGGAGGGGCTCTCCTTCCCTTTCCTTAGACCAGAAATAGGGGGCTCCTTTTGCAGATGT